TGAGGCTCTGCACCTGGGTGGGTAATCCAGGCTGCTTCTCTGTGTCAAATCTGCCTCTGACCCACCAGGCAAGAGGGGGATGTTTCAGTCTCACTGACATGATTTCAAACCCCAAAGTTTCTCAGCACTCTGTCTTTGGTATTAATTGACAAAAGCAGGTTTGACAGATTCACATTAGAAAGGAATCCCTTGACGCCTCAATCATCTGGATGTGAGGGCCAGCAAGAGCTCGGATCTTCCCATCCCAATGTGACCCCAGCTCCTGGGGCCCCATGTCACTCTGGGCCCTCATTAGAACGCTGAGTCAAGCCTTCTTGCCTGCTTGGGTGTACGTGTCAGCTCCTCAGCCGGACTGTGGGCTCATGCCCTGGCCCAAGTTTGGGTCATTTAAAAAACAAATCTTAAAAAAAAAAAAACTTCACTGGAGGATACCGTATTTTTTGGACTATAAGACACATGCCCCCCAAATTTGGGAGGAAAGGTGGGTGTGTCTTATAGTCCAAATGTAGCTTACTTGGCTTGCTGTTGGGGGCGGGCAGCAGTGGAGCGGGGTCACAGGAGGCAGGAGCAGGGTCGCCACTGTATTTTCCTCCCAAATTTGGGGGGGTGCATCTTATAGTCCAAAAAATACAGGTATGTTTGATTTTTATTTTTTTAAGACTTTATTTATTTTTAGAGAGAAGGGAAGGGAGGGAGAAAGAGAGGGCGAGAAACATCATGTGCCAGAGAAACATCAATCAATTGCTTCCCATGTGTGCCCCAACTGGGGCCAAACCTGGAATCTAGGTATGTTCCCCAACTGGGAATCGAACCCACGACCTTTTGTTTCACAGGATGACACTCTGACCAACTGAGCCACCTGGCCAAAGCAAGTTTGGGTCCTTTTTCCTCAGCCCATACCTGGCATGGAATACCAGTAGGTGAACAGTCTGTGTTCATTGAATCTAATTGTTGATGGGTTTTCTAGATGCAAAGAAAAAGAAGCCGAAGGAAGCATATCAAAATGATAGCAGTAGCCGCATAAGAAAGGGGGGAATGTGAGTAATTAAAAAAAGAATCTTTCCCAAAATGAGAATTTCTAAAATGTAGTCAATATTAATGTCCTGAAAAAGAGAATGCAGTTGTTGACTCTCTTAAGATTAAAAAAGGAATTGTTGACATTTTGATGTCTTAAAAATGAGAACTAAATTGTTGACATCGTATGATTAAAAAGGGAACATTGCAACACTGACCTTTTCTTGCTTTTAAAAGGGCATTGAAGTATCGCTGCTGTGCTTTTCCAAGTGGATTGTTGCTCACTCTTTAGAAAACAAAACCAGAAAGTTGTTGGTGTTGACATACTAATTACTCAAAAATTAAATTATTGACTAAGTGATTTTTAAAAATTTTCCTTGTATTTATTGGGGTGACACTGGTTAACAAAATTATATAGGTTTCAAGACTGTATGATTTTTAAAAGTCACTCTCTATTTGGCATCTCTATGCAGAGATGAAACAGCCTTTGTAACGAGTCTCGGTTCTGGGGAGTCCAGCAGAGCCCTGTTTATAGACACAGGCCTCAGTCGTTTCCCTGCTCCGTGTCTGTGCTGCAAGGGGCACCAGATTCAGCGAAAGCTGCTTCATCTGTCTCACAGTAATCACAGCCTTTCACAATAGCCGGTTTCAGGGGTGTCTTCTAGCAGGGTGAAAGCAAAAGCTCCGTGTCTGATTGGTAACTTGTTCCACACATGTCAAGACATTGTTTTTGCGCTCTTCTGTCCTGCTCACGTGGCTAGATAGTTCAAGCATTTTTTTTAAAGATTTTATTTATTTATTTTTAGAGAGGGAAGGGAGGGAGAAAGAGAGAAACATCAATGTGCGGTTGCTGGGGCCGTGGCCTGCAACCCAGGCATGTGCCCTGACTAGGAATCAAAGTTCAAGCATTTTCACTGTTTGTTCCACTGGAGTGAAACCGAATTTCATCTTCACATCAGCAATTACCATGTTGGAGACTGGAGGGCGCCCTGTGTAGCAGTCTCCATGTGGCTTCTTCTTTTATCCTTTGTTTAGGACTTCGTTCGGCTAGGATTCAGGCAGTTCTGAAGGATGGTTGTTCTGTACTTCAGTTGTAATTTTGATGTGGTTGTGAGTGCACATTTACCCAGCCCACTGTCTTGACTGGAAGCTTTGACTATATGGTTTTTAAAGGATCTGAATAGTTGAAACTTGGAGATTAAACAAGAGGAAATTGAACGATTGATAAAATTGTTGGCCCTTTGAGGTAAGATTCCCTAACTCTGTTGTCCGTGCATGAGAAGGGTGTCGTAGCAGTTCTCAGCCTCCCCGTGAGGCTGGGTAGTGGGTCCACAGGGTGGAATTTTACACATTTCACTGCGCTTTATCCTAACGCTATTTTGGAAAAGTGTCTAAGGGCCCTTCCCTGATGCATTAGGAAGAAGTAGATGCTCAGCGTTTGCAGCCCTGCTGTGCTTTGGGAAAACCTGACAGTTACACATATCACCTGGCACTGTGTCTGTCTGACTCAGCACAAGTGATTAGCACATGCTGGTTCCAGAATTCCTTCCATCCTCCCCCACAATCCCATGGCAAAAGAGGTCTCGGCCCTGCTTGATGCAGTTTCTTCCTTGCCCTCACTCGGTCTTGCCAGACCAGTTCTTGGGCTTTTGTAGGAGTTGGAGGAGAGTTTTGTGGGAGAGACTTGAGATTCCAAGAGTGGTTTTAGGAGAAAAATGTGGGACAGTTGTAATAGGTGGTGATGGTGGATGGGAAAAGGGAAAAAATGGGAATTTTGTGAAGCGTTGTTGATACAATCACTTTGGAGAGCAGTTTGGCAATGGGTGAAGTTGCAAATGAGCCTGCCCTCTCACTCAGCAGTTCCGTTCCCCAGAATGCAGCCTAGAGAAACTTACACATGTGCACCTGGAGATCTGACCAAGGACATTCAGGAGGCACTATTTGTAATCACAAAAAACTGGCCCTGCTGTGAATGTCCATCGGTGGGGGGAGGAGCTTAAATAACTAATTAGTGTTGTGTGATGGGAGACGCTTCCAACCCAGCAGCAATGAGCAGGGGGTGTAGGAATCAGCCTGGATAGACCTCAGAAACATAACGTTGGGAAAAATAAGCAAAATCATCCACATGGCATGAAGCCGTGCATGTGTTACTTATCTACTTATTTATTTTTATTTTTACATATTTTAAATTACAGTTTACAGTCAATATTATTTTGTATTAGTTTCAGGTGTATAGCATAGTGGTTAGACAATCATATAGTTTATGAGGTGAGTCCTCTGTTATTTCCAGTGCCCACCTGGCATCATACACAGTCATTACAATATTATTGACTGTCTTCCCTATGCTGTACGCTACAGTCCCCTGGCTGTTTTGTCGCTACCAATTTGTACTTCTCGATCCCTTCACTTTCTTCACCCAGCCTCCCAACCCTCCTCCCCTCTGGCAACTCTCAGTCTGCTTTCTGTGTCTATGAGTCTGTTTCCATGAATGTATTTTTAAGAACTAACAGAATGCAATATATTGTTTAAGATATTTATATACACGGTAAAAATATAACAGCATGGAGTAGAAGGATAAACAGCCAACTCGTTTTATCAGTCAGGATCGGTTAGGGTCCTGCCTCTGTAACAAACACCTCAAAATCAAAGTGGCTTGTAACAAGAGTTTATTTCTTGTTTGTGCTACATGTCCAGCAGGGGTCAGCAGAGGCCCTGCACCATGTCTCCTCATTCTGGGATTAGGCTGACCTGTAGCCACCAGTTGCCAGAGCAGAGGGAAAGAGCTTGGCCGATTGTCAGATCGTCCCCTTGGCCAGAGCAAACCACATGGCCAAACCCAATTTCAGGGGACAGGCAAGAACTATCCTGCAATGTGCCCTAAAGGAAAAGCAGTAATAGGATGATGACCCCACACCCATGATGATGGTGACCCCTGGGGAGATGACAAAGGGGCCTCTAACTTCCTTGTAGCCATTATTTTAGAAAACATAAAGCAAAAATGTGAAATTTGTTCATTCCGGAGGAAAGCTACCTGGGTGTGTCCTACATTATTTGCTATGTTGTACCTTTTAAACTTTCAGAAGTAGAAATAGAATTTCGAAAGGGAGGGGGCAATGGGATAGCATTAATATTAAAAGTCATATATGTGTATCCTCACTGGGACCATATTTCCTTTCACAGTTTTCAGGGAAAACATGAGTAAAGGAATTAGTTGTTTTTAATGTTGTTTTTGGCTGCGTGGCAGCATTCTTGGACCTCAACTGCAGCTTGAGGGGCTCTGACCTCATTTTCAGCATTGCGTGCGCATCTGTGTGTGCGTCGGCTCCCCCCACAGCAAGGGCTCTCCCCAGGTTGTCCTGCTAACCTCTGCACTCCCAGCCCTGAACTTTCCACAAAGAAGGTGCTAGTAAATGTTTTAATGGATGATTCTAATATGCTTATTTCTACCTAAATAATGAATTATTTCGGGGCAGGACCCATGTCATCTTCCCCCTCTGAGCCCTTCACTGGAACAAGGAACGAATGGTTGTTGAATGAGTGAATGACTGTAGGCCTCCTTCCCCAGCCCATCAGTGGGAGCAGAAAACACATGGCCCTTCCCGCTCCACCATAAGCCTCCCAAGGAGCTGGGAAAGTCTGTTTTTCTGCAGATTCTACCATGTTTCTCTGCCTGCATTGAAAAGCCAGTGACTATGTGTGGCTGTGCAGGGTGGCCAATTTCCCAGGACCTGCCCCCCCGCCCCCCTTCAGGCCCCCCTAGTTTCAGCGCTGCAAGTCCTGTGTCCGGGGAACCCCTCAGTCCCAGACCAACTGGGATGGTGGGCCACCCTGTAGCAATTCCCTTTTTCTCTCAGGGTCTCTTCTTTTTTCTTCTCATCTTCATGTTAAGAGGGTTAGCGCTGGTCTTGTCTCTACATACCAAATCTATGATTTTAGGAAAGGGCTGGAGGGGAAGAGGGGAGTCAAAGAAGGAAGCGAGACTTGAGTTGGGATTTTCTGAAAGAACTTTATTGTTTTTGCGAAGCGTGTGGATCAGTATCGTCACCCAGGACTCCGTTCTAGTGGCTTGCCATGGTCTGGAAAAACAGGGGGGAAAAACCCAGATTAGCCTAGTTAGGAGCACGGGTTCTGAAGCCAGGTGGAACTGGCTTCAACTCCCAGCCATGCCGCTCATTAGCTTTGTGATCCTGGGCAAGTGACTTGACCTCTCTGAGCCTCAGTTTCCTCATCTGTATAATGGGGTAATCATTCACCTCATGGGGGTTTTTAATTAAACTATTAACTAAGATTCTCATTGCAGTGCCTGATACATGTTTAAGTAGTTTATAAGTGATGACTGCTACAAACATTATTAATCTCCCCTGGCCATTCAACTCCAGGTGATACTGGCTCTCTCAGTGGGGCCAGAGCTCCTCCTGTCACAGCTCATCACTATTGTCCATTTGATTATCTGTCCCCCCACGAGGCAGCCCTTGGATGCATCGCTCTGGCCTTCATGACAAGAAAAGACCTGGGCCAGGGAAGGCGCTTCATAAATACTTGTTGAAAGAAGGAAGTTCGGCAGTAGTTCAAAGCTCCACCCAGAAACCATCAAAGTTCCTGGGGCCACGCTGGAGCAGAAAACATCCCCAAATCCTCTGGAGTGTCACCAAGGGTCCCTTCACTACTGACCTGCTAGGATCCTTTGAGCCCCTCCTCAGGATCAGCTGTTCTCCACGCCCCCCCACCCCCACTGTCCCTCCCCTCAGCACCTCTCAGAAGAGCAGCACCTGGAGCCCTCCTGGCTAGCCTGCCTGCTCACCTCCTGGATCCAGTCGTTAAAGGCTGAGACACGCGTGAACACAGTGGGCTTCTTGCGGGCGTTGCAGCCCAAGGAAGAAACAAAGCTGGCCACACCATGGACCTGCCAGGAGCCATCACCAGCAGGGCAGTTCAGGGGGCCTCCAGAGTCACCCTGGAATCGTCAGAGAGCAGCAGAGGACTGAGACACATCTCAGCTTTAAGGAACGGAGTTTGTTCTGAATTTTGGGATTTGACCTGTCTGAGCCTCGATTTGCTCATCTGTGATGGGGAGTAGTATCGGTCTTATGAGTTGTTGTGAGAACTAAATGAGATGATAGATATATGATTCTAGCACAATGCCTAGTGGAAAGGAAGTGATTAATAAATGGTAGTTCCCGTTATTACTATCACAATAAACAATGTTATTGTTCATACTCACTTATACCACAATGATAGTTTGGTTTAATTGTAACGAGGACAACAGAGTGGAAGATGACTTCAGAGGCCAATACCCCTTGCTGTGCTGACGGGGAAGCCTCAGGACCAGGGAGGAACAATGACTTCCCAGGCCAAGTCAGTGTGCAGACTAGGACTAGAATACAATAGTCGTGACTCCCAGGCTCAGAATGTGTGTCTTGACTACCTGACTTTCTCCCAGTCCTTCCTGGCCTGGAAGCTGAATGGGGCAAGCGGACAAGATCTCTCCTGCATCTTCCAGGCAGATGGCAGTGGTACCCCAGGGCCCCGCCCCCGCCAGCTGTGTGGCTGTAGCTCAGCACGATCTTGGGCGGGTGAGAGCTGACTCACGTTGCACCCGGAGCGGATGTCCCCACCAGCGCACACCATGGTCTTCTTCACGGAGAAGCCCCACCAGTCCCACTTGGAGCAGTGCTCGTAGTCCACCACTGGCAGCAGGGCTTGCTGCAGCTTGTCAGGGAGGGGCCCGCCAGCTGTGGGGGTAGAGAGCACTGAGTGTGGGGGTCAAGGGGTACAGGGCTGGGGCTGGGAGCTCCAGTGTGGGGTGAGGGCTTGAGGCAGGCAGGTCTTCTGATGAGGAAGATGGGGACCCTCTTCCCACCAGACTATATAGTCCTATCTGCTTTGTCCATCTGCATCCCCAGCACCTGGCACTCAGGAGACACTAAAAATGTCACTTTTGGGAGGGTGGCAAGAGAAGACTTCTGCTGGAGGAAGAACGGGGAAAAAAGTGCAAGCACCGGTCCTGGTGTTGCCCTCAATCCCAGCTCCTGGGCCCCATTTTTCTACCCACTGTCCCTGTGGCTGGGCGGAGGGTCAGCACGTACTACTGAGACGGCCCCAGCCACTGATGTAGCAGGGTGCCTCGTTGGGCAGGATGTCGTTGGCCGGAGGGAGGCAGGCAAGCTGGACGGAGTCTCCCAGCTGGGCAGGGCGAGACAGCTTGATGAGGGCGATGTCGTTGCTGGGGAGGAGGGGAGAGTCACGGAGCTTGGTCCTCTGGCCAGACCAAGCCTCACCACCCAGCCCTTGCTCCAGATATTTCACCTCCAGGCTGTCCCCCCTTTCTCCCTGGGCCCCTTCAGCTTTCTGCTCACCCTTGACCTTCACAAATGTCCTCAGCTTTTACTCCAATGGTCCTCACACTTCAGCTGCATCAGAATCACCAGGAAGTCTTATTAAAACAGAGGGGCTAGGACCCAGCCCAGAGATTCTGATGCAGGGGGTCAGATTGGGGCTCGAAAATTCACATTCCTGACAAACTTCCAGGGGATGCTGATGCTGCTGGCCTGGGGACCACGCTTTGAGAGTCCCAGCTGTCTGTCTTCATCCACCGGCTTGGCTCTCAGATCACCTCACCTGGGTCTGAGTTCTCACTTCACCTGGGTCTGAATTCTCTCTCCACTGACCCCAGGAGTCCCGTGTGGGCGGGTCAAGTTCTTATCATCCTGGTCCCTCACTCCTGTTCTGCACTTTTAGGGGATTGGCACTCTTCTTTGGCCTCCCCACCGGAAGATGCTGAGCCAATCAGGCACAGGTTTGCATATGGTTGAGGGGCTTAGGAGGCCCTGCCTTTTGTCCTCACCTAGTGATTGCCCCCTCGACCCCCGTAACCACCCAGGAAGCCCAGAAGTTCACTCTTGGCAAGCCGTAAAACGGAGGCCTAGAGAAGGGCGGTGACTTTCCAGGCCACACAGTGACTTAGTGCTGGAGCCTGACTTCTTAGTCCACTGCGCCTCCTTTTGCCCATGGTGCTGAAAACCCAGGATGCCCTGGTGACATCCGTTGAATGGAGGAACCCTTGGACTTGGGAGGGCGGGTTCCAGAGGAATCCTGGGTTCTGAAGCCAACCAGCCGAGTGGACTTGGGGGAGTCCGCACTCGTCCTTGGGCTCTCGTGTCCCTGGGGTGTCCAACTCACAGGTCACGGGCCACATGCAGCCCAGGATAGCTATGAATGCGGCCCAACACAAAATTGTAAATTTACTTAAAAGCTTTTTTTGTTGTTGTTCATTAGTTTTTGTTGGTGTTTGTGTATTTAATGTGTGGTCCAAGACAACTCTTCTTCTTCCAGTGTGGCCCAGAGATGCCAAAAGGTTGGACATTCCTATTAAACCTTAAAGGCTCTGCCGGCCCCAGCCCTCAGCACGTAGAGCCTGGGCACAGGTTGCTGGGCCCAGCTCCACTGACCCTGGGAGTCTTCTCGGAATTGGCTTTGGGTCACAGAGGGATGAAGGGAGGACCCCTTAGGCCCTGGGTCTGAGAGTTCACTTACCCACAGGACACACATTTGGGGTTCCAGAGTGGGTGCACGAAGAGGTCCTCAGCATTGATGGGGATCACCTGTTCGGGGCCCTCTTTCTCTGACTGGTCATACTCTCCCAACACCACCTGGTAGGTCAGGGAGCTCCTGCCAGTGGAGGGAAGGTCAGTCCAGGCCTGGTTGGCCTCCTTCCTACCCCCGCCCCATAGTCACCCCCCGCCCCCCGTGGCCTGCCTGGACTGCATGTAGGGACAGGGCAAGTGAGAGAACTCACGAGATGCAGTGGCCTGCAGTCATGACCCAGTCGGGGGCAATGAGGGTGCCGCCACAGGTATGGTGAAAGTTTCCGTTCTTCTCATACTGCAGGGAGATCTGGAGGCCAGGGAGGGAGGAGCCTGAGTGGTTTGGACCCCACGATGAGGGCTGCTACCATGGCTGTGTAAGTTGTGTTCTGTGTAACTCCAGAGGCTCTGTTTCTGCAGAAAATGTTGGGGTCCTCTCGAAACAGGCAGTGCCCAACCTGTGCAACTGCCCGGGGCTGCCCTGTCCCTTTCCCCCCGGAATCACATTCTGACTCTCTGATGCCCTTCACCCCCCAGCCCAAGACCTCCCTGGGGACTCAACATTTCCTGTCCTTCAACCTTCCAGCTTAAGGGCCCCAAGGCCCTCTGTTCTGTCAGGCCCCCAGCTCTTCCAAACTTCAGTTCTTTCAAGGCTTCTTGGGCCCTCTGAGGCACAACCCATCCAAAGCCTTTTGCCTCTCTTCTCATTTCCCACATTCTGATTTTCAAAAGCTCTCTCTAAACCAGGGGTTGGCAAACTATAGCCCGTGGGCCCAGTCAGTTTTATGGTCTGTTTTTGTATAATAGATTACCGGGAAATAGTCACACTTACTCATTTACGTATCATCTGTGGCTGCTTTTGTACTACAATGGTACAGATGAGTCATTGCAATAAAAACTCTATGGCTAGCAGAGGCTAAAATATTCACTGTCTAGTCCTTCATAGAATAAGTTCAGTGACCCCCGCTATGAACTGGCGCCATCCAATAGGACTTTCTGTGGTGATGAAAATGTTTTGCACATTTTTTATTTTAGTTAAATTTAATTAAATTTAATTAATTTATTTTTAAAATCCTTTCCACTTGCTTTTTGTTATAACTTTATTTTTAAGATTTTATTTATTTATTCTTTTTTTTGGAGAGAGGGGGAGGAAGAGAGGGAGAGAAACATCAATGTGTGGTTGCCTCTCACCTGGCCCCCAGGCCCGTAACCCTGGCATGTGCCCTGACTGGGAATCCAACTGGTGACCCTTTGGTTCACAGCCCGTGCTCAATCCACTGAGCTACACCCGTCGGGGCTATTTTTAAATTTTTACTTACTGATTTTTTTTGAGAGAGAGAGATTGATTTGTTGTTCCACGTAGTTATGCATTCATTGGTTGATTCTTGCATATGCCCTGACCGGGTATGAAACCCACAACCGTGGCATATTAGGATGACACTCTAGCCAAATGAGCTACCCAGCTAGGGCAACATTATTTAATTTTAATTAATTTGAATTTAAATAACCATATGTGGCTAGCCGTTACTGTGTTAGTCAGTGGTCTAGCCCTCTGTGCCTCCCTCCCCTGGCTCCCATAAAGCCTTTGTGCATTTATTGCTCTTAGGCCTTATAATCCTTTCACATAATTCAAGGAGTCTAGAAATGAGTCCCCAGATGGTTCCCGTCCTATACAGGGTTGGACAAAAGTAGCTTTACAGTTGTGAGTACATGAAACACAGAGTTTATTCTTGTCTTATTACTTATTAATTATTGTACTATTTTCCATACAAACAACAGCAAACCTACTTTTGCACCACCCTGCATGCAAAGCCTGAAATTCCACTCAGTGCACCAATTCCCAGGTTAAACATTGCCATCCCCAGATTCCACTTCTAACTTGCAAAGAGGCCCGTGAGGGTTACAGGTTGAGTGGGCAAAACATCCTCGTGGAGTGGACCGTCCAAGGGTTTCCTGGCCTTTGGAAGCCAAAGTGGATAGCAGAAGCAAAGCAATGGGATAAGACTCAGTGCCCTGCAGTCAGAGCAGGGGGTGCAGAGCCTGTGGTGGTGGGAAAGAAAGCTGCTGGCATCACTCTTACCTGCCAGGGCCAGCTGTAGGGGACCGCGTCCTCGCCATTGACCACACGGGTGGACGGGTTGAAAGAAGGTCTGCCACAGCCGGAGGCTGGAAGGGAGAGTTGAGGTGTCAGTCCATTGGAGGGACCCAAAAGCAAAGAAGAAGTCTGGGTCCCAGTCCCAGCTGTGTCACAGATTGGCTACGTGACCCCGTGCAAGCCCCTTTCTCTCTCCGGACCCCAGTAGCCACATGTGAACAGCGAACATTTGGACTAGAGCAGAGGCCTAGGAAGGAGTCCAGGGCTAGAGATGAACATGGGGCCTCTTCCCACGGCAGCGTTAAAGGGCTGGGTGCACTTAGAACAGTGCCTGGAGCCTAAGAGCCTCTCAGAAGTGAAAGCTGTTATCATGAAAAGAAGTGACTTTGGAGTAAGACTGCCTGGGTTCGAAGTGCAGCTGTGCCCCTCATTCTAAGATGGGCTACTCTTCTTCTCTGGGGATCAGTTTCCCCATCTCTAAAGTGGGGATAATAATAGGACTAACCTCATGGGACTGTTGTAAGAATTACATGAAAGAATAGAAGAAAAAAATCCTTAGCATTCTTCCTGGCATATACTAAGCACTCAATTAATGTTATCTGTTACCATTTCTGTCAGTCAAGGAAGGCTGCTTGGAGGAGGTGGCCCTAAACTAGAATATAATACGGCAGAGAGACCAGGAAAAGGTTAGACCATGTAATATGGAGCAGAGTAGAAGTGTGAGAGGAGGGTTGGAGGGTTAGGTAAAGGGGCAGAAATTCCAGACTAAGTAGTCTAACCACAGAGCCCAAGCTCATCACCATTAGACTGTGTTTACTGGCCTCATTGAGGACTCCCACCATAGCCTTTTGGGTTTTTCTCCTGAGCTGGTCCACCCATGGCTTCCCCTCCATTATTCTGCTCCAGCACCAAGCTGAAAGCCCCCACAAGCATGCTCTAGGAACAAGCTGAAGACCCCCTCCTACAGGTGTTGGGTTAATGAGACCCAGGGCAGGTGGCAGACTTCAAGGGCTCCTGACCCAGTGCAGCGCACAGGTGGGGGTCTTACCGAGGGCCACCAACAGGAGGGAACTCAGCAGCCTGAACATCGTGACTTTTGAGATGGTAGGAGAGAGACCCGGAGCCTGGGACTCTAATATAGGGAAGTAGGTAGGTGGGGGGTTGGACTGGGCTCCATTTCCAGAACAGGTGGTGTAAGGCCAGGCCTCCCATGGTCCAAGGCCATTAGTACAGATTGTGGGGGGTGAGGGGATGGATGACAGCCAACAGCAGGACCTGGAATTCTATACAATGTCACCTGTGTAGCCACAGAGTTCCTCCATGTGGCTACACAGCTGGCATTGAATGGCCTGCTGATAACAGGGGAGGGGGGAGGAAAGTTCACAGCAGAACAAGACAGCCTCTTCCAGGAAAGAACATGGGTTTTGGAGCTGGCCATACCTGGATTCAAATCCTGCCACCTCCAGGCTCTGCAACCTTGGGCCAATGGCTTAACCTCTCTGAGCCTCACATTTCTCATCTCTAACATGGGATTGATATTAGTATCCACTTCAGTAAAATTTTTTCCCATATTTTTTCTATAGCAGGCTATACTAGGGGGGCAGCTGTGAACAAGACACGGTCCCTGCTCTCTTAGAGCTTGAGTCTAGTAGGGGAAACAGTGACAAACTTAAAAAAAAAAAGGATATTTCTGATTGTGGTGGTAGGTGCTCTAAAGAGAATGACACATGAGTGACTGGGGTGGGAACGGGAGTAACTCACTTAGACGGGGGCTAGGGACAGGGACACTTGGGCTGAGGAGGTTGTGTCTGAAGGAGCCCTAGAGGACCAGCAAAAGCCAGCATGGGGAGTGCTAAAGGAAAAGCACTCCAGGTGGAGAGGGCAGCAGGTGCGAAGGTCTGGAGGCTGTCATGGACTGGGCTTGTCCAAGGGGGGGATGGTCAGAGTGGCTGCAGCACAGTCAAGGTGGAGAGCGGGGCAGGGATGACGTTAAAGAAGAGGTGACATGCAAAGCCGAATTCACTTGTGACCCAGCAGTGCCACCCCTAGTAGAGACCCTTGAGAAAAATCTCGCACCTGCGCGCGGGAGGCACGCACATGTATGTCCCACGCAGCCCTGCCCTCAGTCCTCAATGACAACTCAGGTGTTCGTCAAGGAGAAAGGATGGGTGCGTGTCATTTATTCAGAGGATGGAGTATTAATCAGCAGTCGGAAAGAACGACAGCACAGTGACATGCCACAAAGTAGACAATTCCTAGGAATGTAAGTTAAGAAAAAAACGTTCCTGAAAAATTAAATGCAGTTTTACTACTCTTTTTATAGAGTCAAAGACAACTAAAATTTTAAAATATACTTCTTAAGAAATACAAGTACATGAATACAGCTATAAAAAAAGCAAGCAATGTGTAGTTCAGTGGATTGAGCATAGGCCTGAGAACCAAAGGGTCGCTGGTTCGATTCCAGTCAGGGCACAGGCCTGAGTTGCAGGCCAGGTCCCCAGCAGGGGGCGCATGAGAGGCAACCACACACTGATGTTTCTCTCCCTCTCTTCCTCCTTCCCTTCCCCTCTCTCTAAAAATAGATAAATAAACTCTTAAAAAAAAAGCAAGCAAATGCGTGATGGACATAGGACCCCAGACGACAGTTGGCTCAAGTCTGTGGTAGGGGCTAGGGTGACAAGTTCAACGTCGCTAGCAGTTCTAGCTTTGCTTTAGTAGTTTTTGGTTTTGTCTTGGGTTTATTGAACTTAATTTACATAACAAAATTTGCCAATTTTAATGTAAAATTAATAAGTTTTGACAAACATAGGTCATTCTGAAGCCACCGCCACAATGAGGATGCAGGACATTTTCATTACCCCAAAATCCCCTCTTGCCTGGCCGCATGCTGGCTCACTGGGGCGCCTGGCCCTGGAGAACAGTGACCTCTCTGTCACCACGGTCTTGCCTTTCCTAGAATCTTTCCTACAAATGGAAGCTATAGTATCTACCTTTTGTTTCTGGGTGTCTTTTACTTTGCATACTGCTTTTGAGATTCATCCGTGTCATTCTGTTCGATGAGGTTTTGAAGGTGCCAACTACATTATTTAAAATAAATATATGTCTAACTAAATAAAAGTGGCCCATGAGTGAACTAATGGTACTTGAAATAACATTGAGAGTATGTCATGGACTGAGGATTACGATTTACCTAATTCTATTACCTGAAAGAGAGACTCAGAAGAAGAGAGAGGTGGGTGACGGGCAGACCCTGTGGGGTTTCTTCGCAGGCCATGTAACAAGGAGTTGGATCTTTATTCTAAGCACAAGGAGAAACGATGGGTGGTGGCGGGGGGTGGGGGTGATTAAATGGGGGAAGGACCTGGGATCTCACTGATACTTTCAAAAAATCTCTTCCTGGTGCTGAGTGAAGGATTGTGGGTGAGGGAGAGAGGGGGACATGAGGCGGGTATTTCAGGGCTGGGGCAAAATGTGAGGGGGGCTGGGGCCTGGCCTTGGGCAGAACAGGTGGAAATGGAGGGATCAGGCTGGGATCGGGGTGTACTGTAAAGACAGATCGATACCTGAGATCACCCCTGTGAAGCGGGAAGCACAGTGCCTGGTGCAAAACCAGTGAACGCAGTGCACACTAATCTGTAGAACAGACTTAGCACGTCCTTGTTGGCTGCTGGCAACAGCCCCCCAGCCTGGGGCCGACACGTTACAGGTGCACGGTAAATGTTTGCTGAGCAAGGCAAACGGGCTCTGCAGACTTTCCTTGTCTCCCCTTGTCACCCAGCAAAACCCAGTGCTCTGAGAGTGGCCAGACTCCTTCCTGCTGGGGTTACTGACTCAGCGCAGAGCCCTCCTCTGGGCTTCCAAGCTCCAGAAGCAGAGGAGGAAGGCGATGCTTAGCTGCTTCAGGTGGGTCCCTAATGGCGGGGTGTCGGGCATCAGCTGGGCGGATTTTCTATCCGAAGTGCACCCCTTCCCATCACACCCTCGGCGACGTCTGCTGCCCCAATAGCCTGGGCCCACAAAAAGGGTGTGGACGCAACAGAAGCAGCTGTGAAAATTCTTCAAACTGTGATAAAAATAGCCATGCCCTCCCTTACCACCTGTTCCCTATGGGTCTGGACATGTTTGTTTGCTCAGCTTTAAAGCTCAGAGCCATTTCTCAGACCCTGAGCTGGGGAAGAAAGAGGGAGGGGTGAGGAGGGTGAGGGCCGGGCCAGAAACTCCCAGGTTCCACTGAAGAGTGGTGACACTGAGCCTAGAATGACCTAATGATCTCATCCATTGCTTCTGTCTGACTGACAGGAAAGGTAAGACCCAGAGCACTGCAAGGTCTGGCTTAGGGCCCTCTGGTTGGTCACTGCCTGGCCTGGCAGAGAGTAACCCCCAGCTACCCTCCAAGTTAGCACAACAAGCTGTCCCAGCCTTTATCCAGGTGGCCTTGAGCAGGTCCCGGCCACTCTGTGGGCTCTGCAGACAGACATGTGGCCACCCTGGCCCTCTGCCCTTCAGGATGGCTGTCCCCCCACAATCCGTCATGTCATCTCACCTTCAGGCCTTGTGGATGCACTATCAGCTGCGCTGCTGATTTGCGCACTGGGGGTTTACCCAGCAGCAGATGGAGCAAGTTCCCCGAAGAGGAGCCTCTTCCCAACCCCTGGGAAGAGGGAGCTGGCCAGGGAAGCTGAGGGGCCAGCTCCGCGGTGGGCCTCAGCCTGAAGCACAGCGAGCCGTGTCCTGAGTGGGTTGTGGAAGTCCCGGTATTGGGAGATTATGGGGAATTTGGAGGTAGGTCTGGGGAGGGGAGGGAGGGAGGGAGGGTGGAGTAGCTGGGAGTCTTTTTCTGGAGAAGTTCCATTATTTCTAGTTCCCACCTGATGGGAAGTTCCATGAGGACAAAACATAACCTCGTTCACCTTTGAATTCCCAGTACCTAGAAGGGGCCTGGCACACAGTAGGTACTCATCAATATTCACATGACATTAAAAGAGGCAACAACTGAATAAACAAAGCTAAAGGGTTCTCCAAACGCCTGGCTCTTCCTGCTGTGAAAGTAGAGTTGACCCTGACTTTCATAAATGGCACATCTGGAGGCTGGGCCTCTGTGTCGAGGAGCTGTGTCGTGTTGGGATGGTGGTTCGGAAGAGTGGCATTCTAGAGGGTACTAACAGGTGTTCGGTGACAAGTGGACCCACAGGAATGGAGCCCCATGGGGCAGGGGGTTTTGTCTGCTTCGTTTGCAGCAGAGGCCTCAGGTCTCAGAACAGAACTCAGTGGGCACACAGTAAAGAATCAAAGATCAAATGGAATTAGAAAATACATATTAAACACAGTTCAAATCCTTTCCTGCAGGACCTCTCAGAGCCTTGAAGGTGGCCATGTCCACTATGCGTCATGCATAGTGACCTTAGGTCCAGGACTCTGCAGGGCCTCATAGCTCTGGAGTCCCTACTACCAGCTCCATCCCTCTCAGACGAGACAGCTCAGCCTCAGAGATGGGGACAGAGGCCCAACGTCAAGCCAGTGCCCCATCTGCCCTGCAATGGCACCGAGAAGCCACGGAGGAGGCCCGGGGCTGGGACTGCATGCAGGTGGCTCTTTCCCAAGGAAGCCATTGCCTCGGCTGGGAGCTGAAGCAGGGGATTATTGGTCCAGGGTGCTGGGGAGGGGTGAGGAGCAGAGACAGCCTGCTTCCCACAGCTAGTGCCTGTCTGCCTGGGCCAGAGCAGGGGTGGGATGGGAGAACTGCCCTCCACCAGCTGCCCTGGGGGTTGGTGGTGAAAGAGGTGTGAAGCCCCCCCCAACCCCCACCCTTATTCCACTGCTCTCCTGGCACATACACACTCAACAAATATTTGTGGAACATCTACTAGAATCCAGGCACTGTCCTGGTCAGCAGGGATCCTTCTGCAAAGACGACAAGGCCTCCTGAGCTCACAGCCAGCAGGGAGGGTGAGCAGCAGGGATTCAGTGCCAGTCTGCTGGCTACTCTCCATCGGCTCTCCACCCCGCTCCACCCTGCCCTGCAGCCGATGTGATGGAGAGCATTGGTGGGCCCCTTGGTCCTCTGGGTTTGTTCAGACAATGGAAGGTGTCAGCAGGAGACTGGAGGACAGGAAGAGAGCCAT